ACTGCATTATAGGAAGCTATACCCTGTGTTATGTAAACTAAAATGGCTTTACAGTTCTTCTGTTATGAATATCCTCTATTTACCAGTGCCCAGGGAAGGGCATGCCCTTCTAGAGTAAGGATTTTCTTGGAGGAAAAGAGGCACACAAGGTTAAGTGGGCTTGCCCGAGGTAGCACAGGAAGTCCATGAAGAGCTGGAGCAGAGAAATCCCAGTTCTGTTTCCTGTCTTCCATCAACCTTCGCTTAACAATCCAGAAGACATTTCATGATGTTTTCCTATTCTCTTGGATAAAAACTTGTGCAAATGGAGCTGGGCAACTCATTAAGTATTTTTGCCATCTTCTAATCTCATTTAGCTTGCCACGCCTTGTGTGATGTTTCAAGTTCATTGTTTTATGTAACACTTTTGTAGAGGTTCAGATTGTTTAAAATGGTTTTGGTTTTTTTTTTTTTTCTTTTTTTTTTTTTTGGTCCTTCAGGTTCATGAATTTATCCTCAGGGGGCTGTCACATTTGAGATGTCCTTACGTAAAAGAAAAGCACTCCAAGCCCACTGGCAGAGACCACCTTTAAAGCTAATTAAAGTGACACATTTTGTCTGGATTCAGAAGCACACGGTGCTACTTGTAAAGCCAGGTGTCCTATTGGACATGCAGCTCTCTAGGCAGGTGCATAAGTAGACTTCTTTATGTTGGATTCAGCCTCATATTGTCACCTGAAAACTTTGAAATAATTTCTATATTTGACTTTTGATACCATATTTTTTTTATTAAAAATATTCCTGCTCACCCAAAACATGTCAGACAGTATCAACAGGTTGACATAGAAGGGAAAAATTATTGCATTTTTCTATAAGAACTATATAAGCTATAGTTAGGAAGATTCAGGGCAGGCTTTCTGGAAAGTTTTCTTTCTGAATTATGAGAAGTACCCATTTGATGTGAGAATCATTCTTGTGCTAACCCAGTGTGTTCCCATTAATTTTTGTACAAGCAGCTTTACCATTAAAATCCATGCTCAAGCACACCTTTCCCTGTGACAGCACAGAGTTTTACAAAATACAGAATGCTGAGACCAAGATGGATCTTTCTGGCTCCGATTCAGCTTCTACTGAGGTTTTTGCAGTCTTTTTATTGCTTCTCTGGGAGTTGATTCATGTGCTTTTGTTCTCCTTCTGATCTGATTTCAGAGTTACTGGGAAAATCGAAGGAGCAGCAGACGTAAATCTACTGACTTAGAACAGTGATATTATTTGTGACTCCCAAACTTTTAAATGTGCAGGCAGCAGTCTGTGAGTCCACATCACATATTTCATGCGCGTTGAAGTTTCTGATAGCACATGTAAGCCCCAATAGATTATGATAGCATGTAAAGGTGGACTTCCTAGATATCTTAGGTCTCCTTTAGTTCTGAGGACTATTTCGATAGTTCCATGTGAAATTTTCTTGAGTATTAAGCTGTAGAGGTTATGAAACGTTGCAGGCTGGTAACTATTGTATGTGTGGGTGGTTGCTTCCATTCGATTAGAGATCAGAGCGATTACAGCTGGAGATCATGAATTGGCAAACAGGTAGAAAATATTAAAAATATTAATAACTGATATTATTATCAGGCTTACTGATGAAACAGAATTATCTGTATAATAAAAGGTCATATGAAAGGCAATACCCTTGTGGAGTGGAAAAAAAAAAAAAGTTACTTGTATACCAACACAGGGGATCATTTCAACTGCCCTTCTCTTAGGCTGTGATGAGCCAGAAAGTACATATGTTCAGTAGAAAATGGACTACTTAAGCACTTATTTCCTGTTTTCTCCATTATAAGAAAAGCTCCACAATGAAATTTCTAGTCAAAACCAGAGGAAGAGTATAAAAGTGTGCATCCCATAAGAATGAAGTGATGTGGCAGTCGGAAACATCAGAATATATTCTGCCTACTTTGAATTGGAGGGATGTTATTTCTCCACTTTTGCATGCAAGTTCCTTAGTGCCTGAACTCTGCTGTTCCATCCACTGTTCCATCACATTCCTTCATCTGAGAATCTCTGAAAGCTCCACTTTTGTTTTACTGTTGAACAGAAGCCCTGTGGAAATTTAAGAGTTTTATACAGCAAGACATGTTTTCCTGCCCAGCTTACTATGCATTCTCCCTTCTGGTTATGGGCTTCATTGGCAGCTATGTTCCAGACAAACCATTTCCCTCTACAGCATGAGTTTTTTATGAGTGCTTTGGCTTCCAGAATGTAGCCCCACGCTAGCTGAGAGCTGCTGCTACTTACATCACTTTCAGTACTATGTACATACAATATTTGATTTTTTTAAAAAAAGTTCAGCTGTATTTCAGTAAATGTTTCTCATAAGTACGGAACCATAGAAACCATACTTCTACTGCATATTCATACATAGAAATATAAAGTAAGAAAAACCAAGCTAGCTAAACCTGATGTGTATCAAAACGTTTTTCTCTGCAGCCCATGAAAGAAGATTATTTTTTTTCATCTTCACATTAGGTGAATTTCTGATGTCACTGATTTCTTATGCGCTGGTTTTCACAATGAAAAGAGCCTGTAAAAACTGAACTTGAATTCAGCAACTTTAAAACCATTGGTACCTAAATATAAAGCAGGCAGTTACTTCTGGGTTTTCTGATGTCAGTATTTTTTCCACTGATGTGAAGACTAAAGAAAATTAAGTTTTATTGCTTGTGTAGTAGCATAGCCATGAAGGAAGAGACTGTGTGTGATTGTGATGAGTAGAGAGATGAAATGAATGGAAACTGTTTCAAAGGGAGAAGTTCTTGTTACGATATGCATAGATTGCCTTGTTCTGTTATTAATCAAACTGTTCACACTGATGGGATTTTACTAGCAATTGACATGCTTCAGCCATTTCCTGGAATGATGTACAGACTTCTTTGCTATGATCATTTTAGAAAACTACTAGCTCTACATGTTTTTCAGGTATAAAATAGCAATCAATTCAAACTTTCCTACTGATTCCATTGCTGTACATTGAGAGTGTAGTCTCTGTGGCACTTTCCAAGACTAAGTAGTCTTTTTGCCTTGGGTTTGCTTACCATCCTAAAAGAAGATAACACAGAATGGTCATTCAGCTATAATATAAAGTATATAAATACAAAGCAAGCAGTAGAACTTGCTGAATAACAGAAATGAATAAGCTCAGGCATTGAGTAAGATCTCAGAAAATGAACTTTGATGCAGCCTTCTGCAGAAGTCCTCTTCTGTAGTTAGTACTCCAGGAACAAGAACTGCTTTTCTTTTCAGACAACCTCTTCAGCAGACTATCGGTTCACTGTGGTTCTATATAACATGCATCCTTTATAAGATGGTGGTCAAATTCATCAGTCAATGTTTTGTCTTGTCTTTCAGCAGTATGAGTGCATTTAAGAACAAGGCTGAAATTAGTCATTATCTGTTAGCCCTCATTATTGTCAAGAACAGGCCTATATGGAAAACGAAGTGTGAGATTTGCCATAGGAAGGTGTTTATTCTGGCTTACATTTATCTCGAATGATGGCAGTAGCAATGAAAACACAAGCACGACTAACTTAACTAAGGATCAGAAACTAGGGTAAGTCTGCAGGCAACTTTTGTGCATCATTCTGTGCCTAAAAGATGTGCTTAAATAACGTCAAAGGCTGTAGTGTCTGCTGTAGAGATAACGCAAGTTACTTCTAAAGTAACTTGCACAAATGTTGAGTTCATTGCTGTATGAACTTCTGCATTTCGAAATAAGAGTTTTGCAGCCTTCACATGGCACTGGGTGAGGTTTTCCTGATAGGATCCTGTATTTGTTTTGCAGCAGAGTGGCACCACAGAGGCTGACAGTAAGGCATGATGCTTTTAACTGCCTACACCTAATTATCCATCACACTGTGAAATTCTGAAATGATTTGTTATCTCATTCTTTCTCATTGTTGCTTGTGCTCAGACTGTAACCTGCAAAAACTCTTAAGTCAGTTTTAAGCTGAAGATGTTGAAGCAAAAATGCACTTGACAACAAAAGCAAGATTACAGATTTGTGGACTCATTATCTTTTTCTTTCTTTAGGCTTTCACTCACCACAAAAGTGATTTTTTTTTTTTTTTTTTTTTTTTTTTTTTACACCTACTTCCATAGTCATGGAAGCCCACATGAAGTCTTTCTGTCCCATTTCTTAGTGGGAAGTCTTTGAAGCAATTAAAATGTTGTTGTTCTCTAAAATATGATGACAAAAAGGCCTAGTTGGCTGCAACTCCACCTAACAGCTATCTAATAGCTGATATTGCAGAATAGCTAACATATGCCACTAAGAGGTGCTAGAGCTGCACATCCACATGGATTGCATCACCTTTGTGCTTGCTTCCCTCAAGGGTGAGTGAGGGGGAACAAAGCGTGTAGCTACAGATCTAGAATTACTGCAGTCTGCCTTTAAAAGCATGCTTCTTAGGAGCAGGAAATAAGTTGTAAATGCATTCAGGTTGTTTATGCTTTATATACATTTCAGGAAGTTAACTCCTGAATCACTTTACTGTCCTTAGTTCTGTTTTTCTCAACATTAACAGAAGTTCAGATATCACAGCTCAGAAAGAAAGTGATTTTTCCTGTAATCTGTGTGGGAAACATGACAAAATTCAGTATTTTAATTGGGAACAAGCACGCTTTTTTTCAACAAATGAAAGTAAGTCTAATCCCTGACTCAATGTAACAAAGTTAAGTCTCACAAGACCTACTACAAAAGTCCAGATTTCATGGCTGGTGGAATCAGAATAAGTTTTGAGACTTCCTGGAAAACTGCCATACTGTTTTTTATCATCACTTAAAAGGTGATGTGTAACAAGTGAAAAGATGTCACCAGCTGTATTTATCAAATGACGATATGCAGGCTGTGCAAGTGCATCCAATAACAATTTTTGCTTTTCTGATAACAAATGCAATGAAATTGTGCATCTTATTTATTACACGTATGATTACTTCAGTAGCCCTCCCTTTTGTTTTTGCAGAGTCAAGATGACAGATATGCTTTCACTGCTGAGTGGTATGACCCAAATGCTTCACTCTTTCGGCGTTATGAGCTTCTGTATTATCCAAAAGATGGATCAGTTGAAATGGTAAGAGTAAAAAACAGTAATTTTAAATATAATAATTAAACTGCTTATAAAATGGAAAACCACTGCCAATTATTTTTCCAGGTAATTATGTTGTAGCTGAAGACATGCTTTTCTTCTAGTTTGAGAAATAGAGAAAAGCGTGGTAGTTCACAGTGGAGCTTGTGCAAGAGCTTCCATATTAATGATTTTTGTCTTAAGCTTGGAGAGTTTCATTTTCACAGATCTGTTTTCATTTAATCTTTTATTGGATTTAAGTTTGGAACTCAGCAGCATGAACCTACTGCATGAGAAGCACAAATTGAAAGTGATCCTTAACAAGAACAATTTTCAGTTAGAATTCTAGAAGTCTCTGAAGCGTTAGCTGTAAACAACTTCTATCGAAGTGGAGGAAACAGTGAACTAAGTTGGTTTTAAAGCAGGGAAGGATGTTTCTGCGAGTGGAATCCAAATTTTTCCATTATTGGTTCTTGCATAGACTTTTCTGACTTGTGCCACATTCAACTAATCCTCATTTTTAATTGATAGTAGGTTAAAGCAAGAAATATAGTGCAGATAATCCTGTACTGATAATCCAGTAAAATAGCCAGTGCTTTGTGCTTCCGTTTAGGAATGAATTAGTGATTTTTTTTTTTACTAGAGTTTGCTAGATTTTAATGAGGATCTAAAGGTCTGAGAATAGCCTAAATTTGAATATTCACATGTATTAATTTCAATATATTTTTAAATTTTTTCTTGCCTTAAATATCAAACACAGAAATAACAGAACTATCGGAATCTACCTTTTTCTTATCCAAACTGTTATTTACTGAAACCATGGTACCCACCTGTGAGGAGATGCACTGTGCACTTTTTACTGATAATCTCTTGAAATAAACTCTACTGTGATGCTGTCCCTTTTAACTTAGTTATTTGTATGATATGTGTGTGCACAGTTGTCAAAACGTGAGGGTTTTTTTTCCGTGAGACATCAGAGCTAATCAGTCAGGAGCCGTAATAATCTTCCTACACAACCATGTGGAGGCTGACAAAATTGTTGTTCATTTCTCCTAGATATCTTAAAACCATAGCTTTCAAGGTGTTCTTGGGCTTTATGCATCAAACACCTATGACTTGGTACGTTCCTACACTTTGCCAGTGTGTTCTCAGGGTTGAGACAGTATTGCGTGTATGCAGTCATGAGTTTGCATGGACTTTGTGAGATCAGTATAACTGCTAGAAAAGCAGTATCTTCTGCAAGTTCAGTTTGGGGGTGAGTTTGCAGACAGAAATTACATTTAAGATGATTTTCTGGATTTACTTATGGTTTCTAAAACTTACCTGGAGTCTGGTGATTCTTTTTTCGTTACTGCAAAATTCTTCTGGATCTTTTGTATCTTCTCAAGGAGATGGCAGCTGCTCACTTTGCCTCTAAAGCATTCTTGGAGAAGAGAGGTAATGGACACGAGTCAGCTTCTCTCTGCTTATGAGAGAGCTGTCAATCACCCTTCCCATCTCTGCAATGGTAGCTTTCTTTTGTAATGCTCCAGCTGAGGGTGGAATAGAGCTGTTCAGTGCTTATGTTATGAGGTTCTCAGGTTTCCATTTGTTTTTTACTCCTTCATATTTTGCTTCTTCCCGTGAAGGAAAAATACAGTGGAAATAACATGACAAGTTTCCAGCTTGCTTTGCAGACATTAGAAAGCAGCACAGGTTTTTGTCCAAGGACAGCAAGCAACTGTTTCTGATCAGACTGACTATGTTGAGAGACATCCCCAACTATCCAAGTTTTCCACAGTTAACTTTCATGCAGAATTTTTAAATCCAAACTTCTCTTTCTAGAGGAGATTTCCTAAAATAAAGAAGAAATCTTTGAAAACGACACATTCCTAGAGAGAATTATTGTGGACAATTTGCCTGTTTACATATACATAAGGGAAGGAAGATAGAAAACAAACAAAAAATCAAAGCCATCTTACATTTCTTCTGCTGTGACTTTTCATTTGTATTATAAGAAGATATTTTAGGCAGATACGAAATTCCACTCTAAAGGATTTGTTAATACAGATAGATGCTGCTTTTTTCTTCGTTCTTCATCTTTTGCTTGAGAAGAGAGAAGCAGAAGGGGGTGTGCCTTTCTAGGATCTGTTTGTGCTTCAGTGAAGGTATGATCAAGCTTTTAGTTGAGATATTAAGAATTTTAATACTTGATTCAATTAATAGGACTCTTCTTGAAACTGAAGAACACTGAGAGCGTATAGGTGAGGGCTAAGGATGTTTTTATTACGGAATCCTGCTTATAGAAGGAGGTATCAAAAAAAAAAAAAAAAAGAAGTTTGGCCTGAAGAGGACAAAACTTTTCCTTTCCTGAGATTCTGTTTCTCTAAGAGACTGAAGCGATCTGTAATATTCATGTGTAGTAGAGAAGAAACTGTTAATGAGGTTGTATTTTGTGCTTTAGCAGTCCACCCAGAAAACTGCGCATTAATGTCTTCCTTCTTGCTCAGAAGCTGAATCGTCTTGACAGGCATTTCAGCTTGCAGCTCTAGGCAGTGAGAACTTCTGAACGTAGTGCTGCAGCCATCCATCCATTCCTAATTCAGAGTTATATACAGCCAAATAAAGCATAATATCACTGGAACAGTCCCCTGAAGACAAGACCTGCCACAGCATGTATTATGGTTGCTACCGCTTCAAGCCATTGGCCTGTGAAACAGCACAGACCAGCTAGGGGGAATTCTGATTGAGCAGAGTTACCACTAGGAACGAGAACCATTTACCATAGTTGGAATTAGCACAAGCAAGTAATAAAATAAAAACTGCGAAGACAGCCATCCCCCTGAGACCACTTAAAACTACACATTTGTTCCGTTTATCTTCTAAGCATTCCTGGTGCATGTGCAAGTTCAAAGGGTTAAGAATAAAATCAATTTAATGATCAGATTCAATCCCACAGAGCTATGGAAATTTCTGAAGGAAAAGTAAAAATTATGTTGAGTTTGCCAACAGCTTAGATCTCTTGCTGTAGAAGGTTCTATGGTTCTGTTCTTCTTTTGTCTGCAGTATGATGTGAAGAACCATCGTACCTTTTTAAAGCGCACCAAGTATGAGAGCTTACACCTTGAGGATCTGTTTGTGGGCAACAAAATTACTGTGTTTTCTCGTCATCTTTCCTTAGTGGACTATGGAGATCAATATACAGCACGCAAGCTAGGGAGCCGCAAAGAAAGGTAAGAAAACCTGTTTGTTTGAAATCCTCCTTTATGACTGGGGTAATTGTTCTTTGCTGAAAATAAGATTTCTGTACTGTGGGAAAAGGAGGAATTAGTCACAAGTCTGCATGAGGTCTGCAGTCATCTGGCATACTGATAGCTGGAGGGAAGAAGTTCCCTGCTTGTAGGCAAACCCACCGTTATCCCTCCCACCTGATACATCTTCAAGGCCAGTTTATCCACGGTGTCTGATGCTGCATTCTCCAGATCTCTCTGAAGAGGAGAGGTGGAGGAGGAAAACATGAGCTCCAACTCAGCTTTTTACTCCTTGCAGGGCTGGTAGGAGTAGCATTCTTGTGATTTGTGGATTCTCTCAGGGCAGTATTGATGTAGTAACCTTAATGGACACTGGGCCACAATCTTGCAAACTGCCTCTCTGCAATCAGTGCAGAAAACTAGTACCTTACCAAACACGTCTATCCTGTATTATCAGTAGTAACAGAACAGTAGGGACTGGAGTGAGAGTGGCCATTCCTATCCTCTATTGCTTTTCTCACTGTGGAGGTTTTTCATTTCAGAATGCTTTCAGCATTTCATAAATTATGCATGCATGAGGATGAGAAGTGTGGAGTGGGAATGTCAATAAAACCTACGTGGTTGTATGTTAAGACAATAGGAAAAAACCTATCCAAGAACAAAAGTAGTAGGAGAAACTTAGAATGACAATAAGGTTACTCTAAGAGAAATTTAAATCTAATTTGCCTGCACTGCATGTAATTTCTGAATTCAGGAATTAGTGAATTTGGATCATTTGCTCCAGGTTTTTGTTTTTTGTTTTTTTTTTTTAAAGAAGTTCATAGAGTATTTTCATAGGCATGGTGTTGCAGTGAGCCCTGTTCAGTTCTATTGCTCTCTTTCACTGTCTGGTGTTAGTTTGAACTCTTTTTGAAGAAGCATAACTGGACACTTTGGAACAGCTGCAAGTTTTGGCATGTATCTTTGTCCTAACCTCACAAAAACATTGCCTTGGAAATGACTGCCATAATTTTTCATAAGAAGCTTCCAGAAGGATGATTTCTGGTGCTTTTTCTTCAGTCTGGAGTTGCAAATGGTGGAAGAGTAGCAAAGAGGGTGGAGAATAGCAGAGAAGGACTTTTGTGTATGACACTGCTCTCTGTTTCTCATTGGAGTGTTGAGTAGATTACATCTGTCTTGTTTATGGGTTTTATCTCGGTGTAATTTTTTTATTGCTTCATGTTTCATGCTCTGCCTAAACTTGCATAAGCCCTGGTACTGATGGATTTATAATAAGAAAAGGTGGCTTGTGATAAAGTGGAACATTTTTCTCATAAGTGTAGCTGTATGTTTGTACAGCAACACTGTATAGCCAGCAACACCACAGATTTGTCAGTGAGGTGGTCCTTGGAGAGGGGGGTGCTCTACAAAAGGAAGGAGAGAATTTATGACGTAAGCTATTTGGAAAACATTTTAGGAATGTCAGCTGAAAGATAACATAAATATGCAAGTGATGTTACATATTCAGAATGGCCTTGGGGAACATAGTGAAAGGTGTCTTAAACAGGCAAGATATCCTCAAAATCCAGTTCCTTCACAGAAGCTGGCTTTCACTGGGTAAACAGGGTCATAGTAAAGGAATCCTTGTGCAAAATGGCTGCATGTGGACTGTTTGTCTTTTTGGCCTGGTCCTCGCAGCATTTAAAGCAGTTATTAGTTAAACATTATTATTAGTAAGATTTCTGCAGCACTTAATTCCTAAAAATAATTTCTAGTTGGAATGTTGCTAATAATTTTGTGGATGTTGTATGAGGGCAAAAATATTCCTGCCTTTCCTTGCCTTTATACTGTACAGGATAATCTGTTGTTTATCTCAGCTTTGGAGGTACATTCTCTGGCTGCTGAATATGCGTGCAGACAAAGCTCAGAAAAAACCTGTGAGGGAAAGTAAGCAATATACATAAGAAGAAAAAAGTGAATGTTTTGAATTAGGGGCCTTTGTTCTTGTCAGGAGAGCCAGCAAATGTCACTCTAATTACATGAGGTGTGAAACACATGGTAAGAGGCCAGTGTAAGGAAATAAGACAGGTAGGTAAGCATGTATTTACTTAGAGCACACGGTGTAAAGAAACACTTCTTTAAGAAAGTGACTTCTGTTGTGTAGTTCTCCATTTGTGATCCTGGGCAGTTGTAACCTGAAGTAAACACTTGTCTGAGCAGTGTGTACTTTCTAAGTTGTCTGTACTCAACGTCAGTTAATATCCATGATTTTGAAAATGGTATGAGAAAACTTGTGTCTCGAGCAGAAATACTCAATCTCTTCAAATTGGCTGTGTCATTGACATAATCAGTATCTCTTCCCCTACATGACATAGGACTTTTGCATGTACTGTAGCTTATTCTTAATAATTAGGTTTCACAAGCATAGCTACAACATGAATTGTGCACCATTTCTTTGATCAGCTCCCATCTCCTGGTTGTTTTTTTTTTTTTTTTTTTTTTTTTTTTTTAGCACTCGTTGGAGTACTGTCAAACAATCCTTCTGAAAATGTAAGCAACCAGGATGAGTTTTCATTCTTTGTTCCTAAACCTAAAATTGTTTCAAAAAGTACTCTGCAGACTGCATCATGTAAGACTACAAAAATATATTGCTAATTAAAGCTAAAAATAAGACATTTTCAATAGAATCTCAGGAACAGGCTTCAGCATCTTGAATTATACTTTTTCTTGCCCTGCTTGCTTCTGAAAAGCTCATACTGAGATGTTACACACTTTATACGCTGATGTTAGCTAAAAGGTTTTGTTAGATTTGCTCATTGTGGTTTTTGTTAGTGTCTTCCAGGTGAATTACTACTTAAAGCAATGTTTCATTGTACTCTGCTGGGAATTAGAGTTTTACTGGAAAGCTTGAAATTGGAAGTGTAAGGGATTGTGCTTTGTGCTGAACAGCCTGTGTAATAGCATAGATTAAAAAAATAATAATAATTCTGGAGGGAAACGTCAACTTCACTGGCGATTTTATGCAATGATTTGATCCTTGGTGATCACGGTAGATGAGCAAGTTGAGAGCTTCTTGAGCCAGGGTGTACATCATGCATTGTGTGAAGGTATGCCTGGCCTAGCACACAACTGCTCACCTTCATGTGCCTTGATGCACATGGCACATTCTGTCATATGATAAATAATACCACAAAATAAATTGGAGCTATTAAATCCTTGGGAAGTGTTGTCAGGCTATGGCCACATGGATTATGCTAGCACGCTTTCCTGAGGTCAGCCTTCTCTGGCCTGAAGACAGGGTTAAATCACTTTTGGTTTGGACTGCGACGTACTGAAGCATAGGCTCAGCTGACTATTCAAATGCAATTTCTTATAATTGCTTGCCTCTACCTTTAGCCAACAAGTCTTCCTGTGTTATGTTTCCCCGCTGATCTGTGTATGGAAGCCTTCTGATGCTTGTGGAAATCTGCGTTGGTATCTGAGCCGTGAATGTCATCTATGTCTCTCTCTTAATTTCACATGTTATGTTGCATGCATTCAAATTTCCCTCTTTGTTTTCCGCTCTGACACCTCTCTTCCTTAATGTTTGCTGTAAAATAGGTAGCCTGTTCATTTCCAAAGCATCTGGTAATCTCTGGTTGCCTAAGGTAAGGTAATAAAGGTAGTAGAAATTCATCCATCTCCTGTATCCTCAGCATATTTGCTCTCATTGGAATATACTGCTGCAAACCTATGGGTTGCTTTTCATTTTTATGCTGCTAAATAAAAAGAGAAGTTTGTCATTATTTACCTGTCATTTATGGGGGTGCTGCTTTAAAAAAATCTATCTTGAGAAGCCTTTGTTATTAGAAACAGTGTAAAAAGATGGAAAGAGTGAAAGAGCTCTTCAGGATTGTCACAGAGACAGTTTCAGAGATACAGGGTTGAATAAATCATCTGTTGATTTGTAAGCTGAGCACATTTGAAGCTGACTCACCACAAGATGAATGCAAATAGAAAATGCCATTTTACAGACCTTCCTTTTTGCTTGTTACTTTTGATTAATAATATATTCAGTGCTTGGTGTACTTGGTCTGATGCAAAGCACGCTAATAAAACTGTCCTGGCCTTGGGGATGTACAGTATAAAAAGATAATTGTTGAAAAGATAGGATGTACTTGAAAACAAAAATGTGAGGGAGAGCATTGAGATTTTTTTGGTCTCTCTTAGAATACAGATGTCAGTCAGTAACTAATACCTTATCTCACAACGTTTTATTGTGTCCATTATCAGTGTCAGCTACTGTGGCACACAACTCATACACTGTGAAGTGTTTGTACTGTATGAAGGAAAACTGGACCCTCTTGTCACTGGGGCCTCCTAAACTTTTAAAGTAATAATACAATAATCATTTCACTTTGATTTTTGTGGGAGGCATGTTTTTAAGTAATATTTCTGAATACAGAAGTTGATCAGCTTGGTTTTTATGTATATAATGGTTACCTAAGGAAAGAGCATAGAAGGGAGAAGGAAACAAATGAGTGATGTTCTAACTCAAAGCAGGGAGTGAGGAGCATAGAGAAGCTATCTATCTTTGCAGCATGAGAGAAATGTACTTCAAAAAAATTTAATACGTATCTCATAATTCCTTGTGACTGAATATTCCTCATAGCTTTCGTGCTTAGGAAAGTGTTCTTTTCTGTCTTGCTAAAGGCACAATTGTGTGACTATGAGGTTATCGTTCTTGAATATTTAAAACTGAAATCACTGAATAAAATCTCGTGGACAAACTGCTTAAAAAGTGTAAGTTTTAAATTGGATGGATTCTGTGGGTAGAATATCAGTTTGAGAATATCAGGAAACAGGCAAGTGTTGAGAATACAAGGAATTTCATGTGTGAAAGAGAAGAACCAAACTTCAGGAGCAGGCTGTGAACAGTTGCTATGAGGTTTGGGTTAGGAAAGGTAGCCATTACTGTGGGTAGAGGTACGCATCACTTCAAGAAGTGATCAGATTATTTGCTCTCAGAGTGAGGGAAGAAGCTGGTAAATGGCGACTGATGGAACGCTATGGGCTGACTTGGCTTTAGAAAGCTGAGGAAACTGTAATGAGTAAAGCTTATTCTCATTGGAATAATGCCTTGCACAGACATTGAAGACTAGCATAGGAATTGGTGAGACAGTGGGACTAGAATGCTTGACTGTGGCAGAATGTCTTTCTGTGGTGCTTTTTCATCTGAGCGTAAACTCGACATGCACACTAAATTCTTTAAGAAAAGTAATGTTGGCTGTATCTCTCTCCCTTTTCTTTCAGAACATTGGCTTTGATTAAACCTGATGCAACACCAAAGATTGGAGAACTAGTAGATATCATTATTAATGCAGGTTTTACAATAACTAAGGCCAAAATGATGGTGCTTTCAAGGTAAGAAATTATAAGGTCAGCTCTATTGTATGTACTATTTGTGCAGTTCAGGCCATTCTCTGAAGTTTATCCCATGTTGTTCTACACATTAAATCCATTCCAGTGAGTAATAAAGGGAAGGCTCATCTGTTTCATAACAGCGTGTAGGTTTCTAAATACATATAGAAAATAAAGTATTACAAAGCTTTGTGCAAATGAGTATGGGTGATTAAACAATTTGTGTGAATCCAAGGTGACTAGCATTACTTCAGCAATTCAATAACATTTACCAATGACTTCTCTGCATGTGCTCACCTTGTAACTTCCTGATATAAGCCATATTACAGATTATAACACAGTTGTCTTAAAAGTACTTGGTTTCTTCACTCTCTGTAAATTCATTGTCTTAATTTGTACTCCCTAAGCCTGAACATGTTTGCTTTTTAATAACTAGGCAACACAGGCAAAGCAGGTGATCTTTTGATCACGTTGCAGGGTTGAACAGGTGCATCTCCCTGAATGCTCCCCCTGCACCCTTTGCTGCTCTCCACCTGTCTCATTCAACCACAAGATTATGGTTTCCTCTGCAAAATGCTTTCCCATAAAGATGATTAATTTATCCTACAAGAGTTTTCCAAGATTATTATGGTATTTCTCAGTTACTGCATTGCCAAGCCTTTTGATATGCAACATCTTTTTGACAAGAAAAGCTATCCGTATTAAATAGTACAATTTTCATGGTTCCTTGGGATTTTTTTCTGTGAGGTCAAGAACAATTTTATCCTACCTTGAAGTTCTTTTTGGCTTTCTGAAATACTAATTAAAAAAAAAAAAAAGTGAGCACCTCCTCTTATATCTGTATTCACTTACTACAGTGTTTGATGAGACTGGTCCCAGGTGCTCTCTCAAACAACTCCACTTTGTGAGTTTAGTCAGGTTTGCAATGCTGGCTTACAATTCAGTGTTTTTCAAGCCAGTGTTTTTTTTTTTTTTTTTTTTGGCTTGCTTTCCTGCAGTCTGAGATATTTGATTCTCAAGTGTTGAGTGGTTCTTTATTTCAGTGTCAGTGAACTTGGAGAACTATTGAGCCAAGTTCTGTGATTTGAAGGAAATGGAAACTGGGAATTAAACTTTTATTGCCTACTGCCTATATAAAACTCCCTGCTTGTCTTGTAAAATTGAAAATGATTATTAAGTGTGAAATTGAGCCTCAGTACTAAATCTAGTTAAAGGATGTATGAGTATTTGTAGTTGCTCTGCATAACATATACACTGTTTCTTGCTATTGCCATTTTAAAATGCTGGAACAGTGGCTTTGCCAAAATTTTCTACTAGATCTGGCATACTTAAGCAAGCATTGTCATCTGTTGCTTTCAGTGAAGAAAATATTACTGACATTCATCTGGCAATCCCTGTTAGCTTGGTTTATGCCTCTGTTTTTTTTTTTTAAAAAAAAAAAAAGCTATAGCCAAGATACAAAAGTGAGGACAGATACCTGCTTTGATAGGTCAGCTATCTAGACACAGAAGTTAATCGCATGTGAGTTGAGTCTGTTATTTCCTGGTGAACACTGTTTTCCTTTCTTTAAAAGCAGAACAGTAACAAGAGATGAAATGGAAAAAGGAGCTAAGTTATACAGCACAACCATAGTTCTGTATTTCTTGCAATAGGAATTCTTAACTGAGTAGTAGAGTTCAACTTGATACAGAAAAAATATTCCAGAAATATTTCTTCATATTCAGAAATGACAGTATGGAATCTGTTTGTGTACTTTTTCCCCATTTGCTTTCCAAAATTATTTGGTGAATTAATTTCAGCAAGGGATGTTCTGATGAAATAGTGAATTGTAAGCAAAAACTTGGAGCTTGAGAGTGCAAGTATTCCTGTGACTAGCATTGGTTTTGAAGCAACCAACCAGGAACTGTTTGGTTCCAATGGGCAGATAGCTGTTCTGATTCCTCAAAGAAGAAATTTGTGATTGTTAAAATCTTTGTTAGGGAAATTAAATTATCTTTAGGTACTTCTTGAGGTTATTTCTTGCCTCTGGCAATATCAGACCTAAGTCTGGACTGCAAATGAAGAAAGATGTAAGAAGTTGCATTGCAGATGACAGTTACTGTGACTTGGTTCTGACTTGCAGCATGTTAGTTGAAATATATTCAGGTGGTGTCTTTCAGTAAAGAGAGCTGCTTGAAGTGAGTAAAATTGTGGAGACCAGAAAATTTCAGGAGACATTTTTTGCCTTCAGAAGGAATTTTTCAGATGGGGATCTTTCAGTTTCTATGCATCTCTGCTTTGATTATGAGCTTTGTACACAGACTGGGGGATCAGCATTACTGCTTGCTTTCAGCTGCTAGTCTGCTTCAAGATTTTATCCATCTCGGCAAATTCCAGCTTCAGAACATGGTACATGGTGGGATTTGAAAGCAAGCAAGTCCAAACCTGCACCTCTGAACTGGAGTTTTGAAGCTGCAGTTGCAAGATAACGGCTAAACTTGAAAACTCTCATGGATTCTTCTAGCTGTTGTCATGCAGAAAAAGCAGTGAAGGTAGCAAGAGTTTGCATGAGGAGCCATTCAAGAAAAAGGACGTAGGAGGGTGGGGGTGGGCTGTCTAGCTCAGGAAGTGGCAAGGTGAAAAGCCAAAGAATGATGTTTCACAGGTGGATGGAAGAAGGGTCTGCACTATGGACCCTGAAACTGAGCACAGGGCTACTAGAGGCATGGCTGTGGGAGTGCAGAGCTTGGGGAGGGCCGTCATGCTGTGTTAGTGATGATATTCTGGCATTTAGCCTGCAGCATCTGATGTGCTATTTTTGTACTCAGGTACTGAGACTAAATAACAGCTGCAGTACAGGTATACTTTGTATGCTTGCTTGCCTTTTTTTACCTGAAAAAGTACTGAGCTCTCCTCGTGGAAATCTCTTGCTATGGGAGCAGACAGTGTGTAGTAACTGGATTTTTCCCTGAGGGAAGTGCGTGACCAAACTCAGTTATAAAAGGGAAAAGCATATGAGAAAGCATGTTCTAATCTGGAGGGGTTGTGCTACCTATTGGAATTGTAACATTTGTGGATACTGAGTGGAAACCAGATTATGCAATATGCTGTTGTTCACTGTCATCAAACACTAGCCCCAATAAGGAAATAGGTTTCACTGAAGCGGATGAATTGTTTGTTTATGCTTTAAAACCAGATTTCATTACCCGACGTATACGCTCAAATTGAACTGAAAGATCAAAGCAATGTAACAGTGAATAGCTTGTCAGGAGGGTGTTTCTGCTGTGTTTGTTTCCCAAGCTAAGAATGTGGAGCTCATCAGTGACTTGGGAAATCTTAGTTTTAGTGATGACTTCCTTCCCAGATGAGGATTGTGAACAGGAGTCAGTTACACCTCTAACCATGCTAAATATGACAAAGTTAAATGTGAGAGTGCTGCTCCAAAAGTAATGCCTCCTGTTTTACTATGGTGGAGACAGAACCTTCATACCAGTATTCCCTTACACGTTGCTGTGTGACAGGTGGCAGCGGAGGGGCAGTCTGACAAAGTGGCACCTGACATGAGAATACAGATGAAGCAAAGGTGTGTCACTGAATTTTTCCATGAGGAAAGCATGATGCCCATTAACATTCACTGTTGCTTGCTGAACATTTCTGGAGATCTCACAGTGCCCACATTCACTGTTTGACAGTGGGTGGTGCATTTCAACACTGACAGCAATAGTAGGTCACCTCTGCTGGCACGAGTTTTGATAAGAGTACCATGCAGGCTCTGGTTCATCATTGGTGAAAATGCACAGCTAATGGAAGTAACTGCTGAAAAATACTGTTTGTAGCTGAGATTTTTCTGTGTCAAATAATGCTATTGTACTCTTTGTATCTATTTTAGTTTCCATGGAAATAAATAGGAGGCATTACTTCTGGAGCAATCTGTGTAGTTTCTTTTACAGGGTATGAATGCCCCATAAATTTTCCAAGACATTATCGGGAAGACGTTATCAATAGAAAAATGTTGATGAATGATAGTTTGTGGTTCTCAGAGTTTATATATACGTGTGAGTGTGTGTATATATATGTGTACGCATATATACAGTTTGTGTATATCTATATAAAGCTGCATCTTTTTACTTTTCCAGAAAAGAAGCAGTTGATTTCTACGTAGACCATCAATCAAAACCTTTTTATAAGTAGGTACATCACTTTTAGCTTGACATAGTTATTGTTCTGCAACAGCAACTGATTTACTGTGGGTCCAAACTCAAGCCCTTCAGTGAGACTGAGTACAGGCTATATCTGACCATGATGGAGATCAGATGATCTAGAACTTTTTTTTTTTTTTGCTGAGTAATTGAGTATGTTGATAAAAAGCAAGAGTTTTGCCTGTGGTGTTATTTCACAGATGTCTGTCTGTGCTAATGATAGTTATCTGAGGAACCTTAAGCTTTTGTCCTTATTTGCTTGGTCTTCCCTACTACAGTCTTATTCACTACATCTTCTATATAGGAATTTTCTCAAATTTAGAAACAAATAATTATAAATCATTTCAAAACAATGAGAAGAAAAATCTTCCTCAAAGCAGAGCTACAAAGTTAGGTTGCTCAGGTCTTTGCTAAGTTGAGTTCTGAACCTCTCTGCTGGGTCACGTATTTTCGCTGGCTTTAATTTACAGCCCGGATCACCATATGTTGTTTCCATTTTGCAGTGAGCTTCTCCAGTTTATAACAAGTGGTCCTGTTGTTGCTATGGAAATCTTACGGGATGATGCAGTTTGTAAATGGAAAACATTACTGGGGCCTGCAAATTCTGCAGTGGCTCGTACTGATGAACCAGACAGCATTAGAGCGAACTTTGGACATGATGGCATAAGAAATGCAGCTCATGGCCCAGATTCAGTTGCCTCAGCTGCTCGGGTAAGTTTTTGACTTTGTTTCTTAACTAGTTTTCTTATTAATTTAATTCGATAATGCAAGTGGTCAGGGATTTCTCACTTCTTTTTTTCCCATTTGAGTTCTGAATGAATAGGTATTCTCTTTTTTAGCATGGAAGAATAAACTGTCTGGAAACAGGAATCTTGTTTATATTTGCCCTAAATGGAAGTCTTGGACATTTTGATCAGGACAACGTGCCTAGTCCTCTAAAAACTCTGCTCCCATTGTGCATATCAAATATTCATGAAGACAAACCATTTTGTATTGCTTTGTGTTCTGGAAGGTAATACAGTGGGCTTGGCTTCTAAGAGTTCCCCTTCTCCTTGTAGTCTGTATTTTCTTAAAGTATTAAGAAAAAGCCCTAGGACTGGGTGATTAAATATTACTTGCATTTCCATAGAACAGAGGTGTTTGTGAACACTGATGTTGGGTAGATCTGCTGATAAGCAATGGCTAGAGTAAAGTTTACTGAACAGTTTTTCAGTACTGTGCTGTTATCTTAGCTCTAAACTAGCAGGGAAAAGATAATTGTTGCTTCTGGGATCCCAGTCTTTCCTCTTTATTACCCTGAAACAGCTGCAGTAGAACAAATTTGAAAAAGATCTGCTCTTTTGAGGGATGCCTCATAGTAGTTGGCACTTTATGTACTAGAAAATGTGTAGCAATGATGTGCTAGTGGTGAGCGTAGCTGCAGCTGCTGTGGGTTTGCAGGGCATGGGAAACTCACTGTGAGGCCTGGGCATTGCTTGAAGCACCATGCTCAGGTGTCTGCATGGTGCATGGCCTGTGGGGCCTCTCTGCACACCTTTTGGTTTTGACAAGTCATGTTTTGGACGTGAAATACTTCTTGTGGTGGCAAGTCTGGTGGAAATGATACATATCCAGAAAGAGTGTGGATGAAGTTGAATTCTTATAAAGGAGAATCTTTAGACAAGTCTTTGTAATTCTGGTTAAGTAGACTGATGTCTTCATGCACAAAGGGAAAAGTTTCTCTTTGTTTCTATGTGCAGCAGTGACCTGCTGTGCCAGCTTTTTACCTAAGAGTGTATGTATTAAATTTCCAATCAGAATCTTATGCTATGTGATTTGGCTTAAGTTTGCAGTTCTCTTTTACATTTCAACAGTTTGGAGGCCCTGCTCATGTGTAGTATTTTTATGACTAAAATTATTGTATTGCTGAACTCTTGCAGATGTAGGCATCCTTGTGGTGTTGCTGATACCACTCTCTGATAAAACAACTGAACTTGTGAATTTAATAGGCCTCTACATATTTTTACATTGTAGGTGCAGAACTATCTGCTTGTATAGCAGCTGCCATGGAAACTAGTTGGTTGCAGTTTGCAGAAGCTTTCCTGAAAAGAAATAGAAAATAGAGGGACCTAAATGAAATTTTTTTGGAAAGAAAACCGAAGTCCCAACTACATCTAATGGATGTATTATACACTGAGAGTTAGAGTAGAACAGTGCAATGACAAATGAAAATAGGCCCCTGGTGTACTTTAAGGTTATTTTTCTTTCTGTAGGACAATTTTTTTTTTTTTCATATTAGGCATGAATAAAAAACTTTCTTTTTTAAGGCATCACTTGGATTTTGTTTGTCACTTCGTTATCCTACTCTTCAGCATTATTTAGATACTTTTCTCTTCTGGCATTTAATGGACCAAAGAAAGTGTTAAATATTTGAAGTATTTTGTTGTTTCTTTCTCGCTGCTGCTTTTAGAGCGAACATTAGTTAACAGAATGGCACAAGGTCTTGGAGGGTTGCAGCATGTCACCAAAATAAGGATGTAGGAAACTAACCCTTATGGACACTCAAAATGGGCATTGCTTGCTGGGGGGGGGGGAGGGGGAAAAAAAAACAAAAAAGAAAAACCTAGAAAATAAAAACACTTCACCTTCCTTCCTGTTGAAAGATCCATCAGTGAAAACTGTGTAATTGTTCAAGTTAGGATTACAGGAATTGCCATAGTAACATGAGGAGAAGATTGAGAAATAGTTAAGTTTATTCTATCTGAATTGAGCTAGTAAATTAAATGAGACATTTCCAGGAAATGGCCTTTGGCGCTCTTAGTGTTACACACAAAAAAATTAGATGGATTTGGTAGTAGTATCTCCAGGATATTATTTCCCTTAAATAGAAATTCATCAATTCTCTTACTTAACTTGACCAGTAGGTCTTAAATGGAATCTGTGTTTCAAGCATTTGACTAATATTTATTGGCAGATTGTGTAAGCTATGTGAATAAATGGTATGGAAAAAGCATGAAGCTGGCAGTGAACAGTTTAATAAAAAAAAAAAAAAAAAACCAACTAAAAATCACTGAGGAAATAAGCTTGGGTGTCAAGCTTGCTGTAGTCTAAGACTGAATAATGATGGCAGGAGGAAAGTAATAGGAAAAAAGAGGTTCTTTTGATTCTTCACAGAAATCAGAGATTGAGTTCATCTTCCATTCACTAAGACTGAGGCGGGGGGGGGGAGGAGAAGAGGGATAAGAGTCTGTAAGTCATGAGAGTGGAGCCAACAATTTTAGGTGAAGATTTTTTTTAATACAAAAGGAAAAAAAATAGCTGTAAGCAGGTAGGATGGAGATTGGTTTTGTATAAGGAAAAATTGGGTGCTCATAGTGTTATTGCTTAAGTGGAGGAAAATGCCTCATGAAAAGAGGGAAGCTAAAATCTGTATATGGGAGTAGATCTGCAAAAAATTCTGAGGAAAGAATTTAGAGATCTGGGAATGCTTCATCTGCCAAATGATTGTGGCAGCAGTAGCAGCACTTTAGATGTTCTGAGTGGAAATAGATTGTATTGTGGAAGCAGAAAGGGAAGAAAAAACTACAAGAAACATTCAAATGATGTTTTTATGATTGTAGCAATCATAATGTTGCCAGTGAGTGAAAGATATACTTCTCCCCTACAATAACCTACATTTGTAGTGCAAAGATCAATAATTTTCTGTGACTATGAGTACTTTGGATGTTGTTACTTATGATGAAAGCTCATGCATGCAGCTACATTAGATAAAACTAAAGTGAATTCAATTGCAATTGTTTTCAGGAGCTGGAGTTGTTCTTTCCCTCCAGTGGAGGCCATGGACCAGCCAACAGTGCAAAATTCACAAACTCTACTTGTTGCATTATTAAGCCTCATGCAGTTAATGAAGGTAAGCAATATAAATAGTGGAGGTGAAAGCAAATTACGCTTTGTTTTATCTCATGATCATTCCTGTGCCACTTCTTGTGACAGTGTGAAACTGCAGGAACGCGGAGTATTTCATTGTACTTGAAAGTGTATGCAAAGCCTTTTTCATACGCCTTTAGTATTTCTTCAGTTTACTGTCATGGGTTGTGTGCTGTGTGGATACTTGTTTATTTCAGAATAAACACTGAGAGATTGGAGGGGAAAAAAAAATGAGTCAATGAATCTCATTTAAGCTGTGATAACTTAACCATATCCTTATTCCTATCTGTCTACCACTCCAGTGGAGGTTAGCTTCCTCATGAAAGCAGGACACCTGGTTATATTACAGCATCTTCCATTTACACAGTAACATATTACATTAAAACTTCTCACAAAGGGAATTTTTTTCAGATGTGAATCTTGCACTGTGGGGATGGGAAGTAGCAAATATTTGTAGGACTCCATGGTTCTTTCTGTTCTGGAGCATATCTTGTAAATTTACTACATGAGCATCAGAAAAGTTTAATGCTGAAGTGTTACCGTGCTGGAATAATCTCACTTTCGTGTCATGTACTTAGATACAGGAGCATGTGTAAGAGCAGTAAGTGCCGTAAAATATTTCAGTTCTGGCATTTCAACAATATTTGAGTGCAAAATGAATGTTGTCATGTGAGCACGTTTAGATTTTTCTTGGTAAGAGGCAGCACAGTAGTTATTTCTCCATGGACAGCTAAAATAGAGACAGCAGAAATGGCCGTGGCAATTTCCAGACCTTTCATATCTCAAATGGGATATCTGGAGGACTTGGCAAAAAAAAAAAACACACAAAAAACAAACAAACAAAAAACAAAAACAAAAAAAAAAAACACACACACAAAAAAAAAAGCTTTTACAATGAAGAGTCTTGCACTCAGCATTGATAAAAACGCCTGTTGTCTTTTGGAGGCCTTTGAAGTCATCTGCTCCTGATACATCTGCCTTGCAGCACAGACAGAAAGATGTTCCTCTTAAGAAAATATAGGCAGCAGCTAAAACTGTGAACTTAACTATTTAAACACTTGCAAAAGGCAGACTTTATTGTGGTAGGATTGTTAATGTCCTTAATTTTTCAAAATTGCAAAGTGGATGGCTTGAAGTGTGCTCTCATACTTAAGGTGCAATTTGTGTCATATATGGGGGCTCAGACTCTTAGTGAGCAAAAGTTGTCCCTAATTTTAATCATCTTCGCTTGTGTAGATTTCATAGTGCCTTGTCCATTATTTTCATTTTTCTTGAACTTCTCTGGATTTTTCTGAATTGCCAGAGGTCAAATTCTGGCCCTGGCTGTATGTGTGTGTGTGTGTTGGAGAAAGAATTAGAGATGCAGATAAGCAGAAAATACGAATTCACACCCTGCTTTGTAGAGTGAGAGCTGGAAAGACTGGTCAGAAGTGAAGCTTAGGTTCCACTACTATAGTCCTATCTCACACCATAGGGAACAGGAAAGGTAGACCACTGCTTTCGAACAATGAAAATTTGCAAAATAGTATACCTTGTGTGCATGTTCTCCATCCACACTGCTTTGAATAGTTCTTTCAACAGAATGAAGGAAGCAACACTGCATTTTCTAAGCTAATAAAACTTCTTATCAATTTGAAATGATTATCAAGAGTGATGGAACTCAGAGGCTGGCTGTGCTTTTATCTTATTAAATTTAGTTGTTTCTATCTGTTCTTTCTGCCATTACTTTGACTATTTCCATAGCCACATGTCCTGCACTTTGTAGAGATAATGATTCTATGACAGTCTTGTTAATCTTTTCAGAAGCCTGACTTCTGACAGGGAATGAATCTTAAGGAAGGGAAGAGTCACTGTGGCTGGGCAGCAACTTCCCCCTTTGGTAGAGAGCACTGCTTTAGCTTTATATTGCAGCTGGACTGGTTAGATACGAGAGGAATCCTTCTTCCCAGAGGCTGTGGGAACTCTCCTCCCAATGGTCCAGGAGTGTCCCAGGGAGGGTTTGGTTATCTTAGCCTGCCTTCTTCTGTATTCCTTACTCTTGTACTTCTCTCTAGTCTGTTGCAGAGTGGCAGCTCTTCTGGTATGATTGGTCCTCCTTCCCCATAGAGATTATTTTGGAGTCTGGGAGACCCCTTCAGGCTCAGCGGTCTGCAACAGAAGAGGGAGGCCCTGCTCATCTCTCTTCTAACAGCTATTAATAACTGTGTTTGGTGATACCTGAGATGTCTCCTGTATCTCAATTAGAGTAGGTGCTATAGCAACTAATGAGCTTCCCCTCAGGCGCAATTGCTGGTAGGAGACTGTGTGGTATAAAAAATAAGCAACTTTTCCCTCCTCCCCACCCCCTCCAAACAAAACAGCACTCCCTGCTGCAGTTGTCCACTCCTGATTTTTTTTTTTCTGGCTGGTAAAATGTAAGGTAAAATAAGGCATCTGGGGAGAGAGAAAATCCCGTGCAGCCATCAGTGCCAGGAGGTGGTCTGTCTGAGGCCCAGTGAGGAAAGTCATGTGGGTCAATGCAGGAGAGTCTCTTATGCGCTGCAGATTTGATTTGTGCTCCACAAATTTTCACTATTGAGTATCTAAAAATAAACCTTTCTGTAATTTCCTATGCACTGCTGAGCTTGAACTTATCTAATTACCATGAATGTAATCTGCTCATTACATGCGTACAATTACATGAAGTTTCTCTTACACATTTGAGCTTACTTAGAGCTTAGTCTTTATTTCTATAGGAATGTTTAACTGGATTCTGATTTGAATTTTATTTCTTTTTCCAGTGTTTTTCTTTTTTTCCTGCAGAGTCCATTGCGTGAGTAGTTCTTAGAAGGAAAAAATCTGCAACTTTTTAGATCCAGGAAAGAGTTTGCTTAGCCGTAGATAAGCAAAAAAGCTTTTTAGTTAGCTTCCCTTGCTATCAGAAGGCTGGATCTAATCTTTAGTTTATGTTGGTTAATTCAAGGACAGAATCATTCTTAGAAGCTGGCTTTGATTACCATAGAGCGTTTACAGATTCCTGTCCAGTGCCAAAGCAGTGGAAAGTCACCATGAGTTTAATCTCTGGCCTTGCTGACCTGATCCTGACCGGTGCACAGAAACGCCAGTTGCTAAGCAGCCCAGTACACAGTGCAGGGCTCTGCCTGTGAACTCTGAAGAGGGTTTGCAAAAGCATTCCAGTTCCTCTTTGTTGAAAAAACCAATCTGCTGCATGGAGTTGCGTACTTGATCTGACCAGAAGTATATCTGAGAATCACAGCCTGATTTGACCCCTCTGGAGTCTGCTTTACTTTTCAGTGTCTTCTGGTTACCTCCTTCACTTGTCTTGGTGCCGGTTTTCAGCCAAGAAGGATGACAACTAGTGAGCATGCATCTTCAGTACATTAACTAGAATTTTAGGGCTTGATCTGTTAACAACTGGAGAGTTTTAGTGTTGCTCTGTTTCCCACTTGCTTCCTGTGTTAGGAGCTTCTGATAACTCAGGTATACAAGGTCACAGCTGCAACCAGTCAGACATTCTTTTTGTAACTCCCTTCATGTTATTAGGTCCAGAGGTATTACCAGTAGTGCTCAGAAGGCAAAATTATAAATACACCAAAATATATGAACTTCAATCTAATGCTCTGACAGTTGAGCCAGCAGTGCGCTCTGGCAGCTCGAAAGGCAAATGGGATCCTGGGCTCCATCAGGAGAGGGGTGGTCAGCAGGGAGAGGGAGGTGATTGTCCCTCTCTACTCTGCTCTTGTGAGGCCCCATCTGGAGTACTGTGTCCAGGTGTGGAGCCCTCAGTACAAGAAAGACATAGAGATCTTGGAAAGGGTCCAGAGGAGGGCGACTAAGATGATCAGGGGGCTGGAGCACCTCCCCTATGAGGACAGGCTGAGGGAGTTGGGCCTGGAGAAAAGAAGGCTGCGGGGTGACCTCATTGCAGCCTATCAATACCTGAAGGGAACCTACACCCAGGAGGGGAGTCAACTCTTCAGAAGGGCTGACAACAGCAGGACTAGGGGAAATGGATCAAAGTTGAAGGAGGAAAGATTTAGGTTGGATGTTAGGGGGAAGTTCTTCACAAGGAGAGTAGTTAGGCCCTGGAACGGGCTGCCCAGGGAGGTTGTGGATGCCCCGTCCTTGGACGTGTTCAAGGCCAGGTTGGACGGGGTCCTGGGCAACCTGATCTGAATGTGCACATTTGGTGGCCCTGCTGGGCAGGGGGGTTGGAACTACATGATCCTTGAGGTCCCTTCCAACCCGGGTGATTCTGTGATTCTGTGTGTGACAGTTACGACACAACTGTTTTGTCAGTAGAAACAGTGCTTTGTAAATCACTGGATGGAATTAACTTTAATTTATTATCTGTACTAGTTTAGTCATATTTGCTGTAGGGATTAGAGCTTGGTATTTCATGACTTTGATTGTAAAGTTTCTTTAATATGGCTTTTATTTTATTTCCTTGTAAAATGAGCAGGGGGAAAAAAAATGGAAATAGCAATGATCAGGATGTAAAGGCTGGGTTCAGAAGTGTTACATTTCACATTTTCACATCCGTAGTTTACAGCACAGAGCTCAAGAGTTGAAATCCTGCCCTCTGTTTCTGCACTCCCAAGTTTGAGACACGAGTTCTGAAGTCAGAGTTTTCTTGAAAATAGATTTGAGGCTAAAACTGTGACATGAACTTGAAAAACAAAACTGTAATTGGGACTTCATTGGATCTGATGCAAACTGAAAAGCTTGCCTAAAGACACAGAAGCCTCTGTGGCCTCAAGAACTGCTAGGTGCATGACTGCCTACGCAGGCAGGTTTGTTCTTCTGGGATGTGTTAAGCTAAATTTTTTCTTCTAACATTACTACTAAAATCTTATGCTTTTTTGTAATTAAAATAAAAAAAAAAATACAGTAATTACAGTGCTGTCTTCCACATAATTGTTCAACTAAGATTTAAATCTCATAGAAAACAAAAGGAGCAGGACAGTTTGTTTTTTTTTTTTT